CATCCATTGGCTGTCAGTGGTTTTCTTCTTTCATGGATGAATCTACATACACAAAAGAAATAGCTTCCTCAAGAACATTTTGTGTTTATGAAGAGGTTCTCTAAATTCTCACTTTGCTTAGATTAGATATTGTTTGTTTTAATTGTTGGAATTGCTTTTGTTCACTCTTTGCTTTTTCCGTACGAAAGATGGCACTCAACTTAGTTATTCTTGATACATTTCTTTTCATCCTTGTTCTGGCGAGTAACTATTTTTATTGTCCATTATTTTCTGCTTGTATTACCACTCAATGCCTGTTTCTAGGACTGGTTTCCTTCTTTAGATATCATCTTTACTTGTAAGCCCAGAAGGGATGTGAGCATGCCTGACTGACTGCATTTCTGCAGCATAAAAGCATCTATGGACTCAGATAAGAGTGCCATCTGCATCTTTTCCATAAGACATCTGACCTTTAGTCGAGGATGTACTAAACAAGACATGTTTGAAATTCAACTTCACAGCAGCAAGCAATTCACTGTACCTTGACATAGGGATTACTTTAAATAAAGTTAAAAAACCGATGTGGGAGAATGCTGAATATGAACTAATGTAATATGGACTTATTTTGTGTTGCACATTTCAACACAGATTCATGAGGACTAAACTGTTGAGCTGCTAAAAGGCAGAAAGGTGAAAAAGGTGCAGAAGAACAACATTGATCGCCCACAAAGGAGGCATGTTTCATTATCAGATGATAGAATACAGTACAAACCTACTAAATAAGAAAAGCATACAATTCTTAGTAGCAGCCAAAAGGAACACTACGCAGCTTGGTGTAGAATTCAGTAATGAGTCAGCTTTATCATATAATGAGCTGCTTAGTTGTAACAGGCCTTTGGACATCATGGCTTCCAGTGAGGACTTTTATTTGGGAGTTCTGATTGTGATTGCATGTTTGTGAACTGTCGTTAGGTGTATTATATTAGTTCAGGAGTCAAGTCCCATGATTTCAGCTTTTGAAAAAAACACATGTCATTTCAATTAGGATTTAGTGGGTACCTACTAGGAAACTGCCTAATGGTGTCTTTTTTAATTGCTAGAAATTAAAGAGAATTATGAATTTATTTGAAATAATAGTAAGTTTTGTATTCTGACATTATGTTTTTGTTCCGTTAGTATACTGCTTTTGATCATTCTATATGTGCTCTTGTTCAGATTGACCCAATCAGTTTCTGTAATCGATTCGGTTGACTAGACATTGTCTGGGTCTGCCACTGCCCAATCTGATGCCAGGTGATAATTAAATGGCGATCCAACTTAACCTTTATTACAAAACACCTAAAGACCATTACTGTTTCAGAATTCTATTACTATTGCACCTTTTTTATTATGTTGCTTGATGAGTTTCTATTTCATTCCTACATTATCATTCTTTGTCAACATATAACCACTTTACCCAAAAGCATCTTTCAATTGGAAACAGTTCTCTGAATAACGGAAAAGTGAACGGTTGTTCTTGCTATGTTTCTTGTTTTATTTCCATTTTGCATGGTTTTACTTCTCAAGCTTTTGGTTAAATCTTAAAGCATTACTTAAAATCACTAATGTGGAAAGAACGGTTGCAGGTCGAGGGAATGCGCCGAGCTGGGCTCTGTAAAGGTGGATCAGCTGATAATGCTATCGTTTGCAGGTTGAGTTACCCATCATGGTCTAACATCATCTTTCTAAGTTTTGTTTTGTCAGTCTTGAGTTACTTAGATATATGTGGTTGTTGCTTTGACTGATCATTAAATCTTATTGTGCTTTCTAGCATCACTGGTGGCTGGCTAAATCCACCATTACGTTTCTTTGATGAACCTTGTCGCCATAAGGTTCTAGATCTTGTGGGCGACTTTTCTCTTTTTGCTCAAAATGGAAATCAAGGACTTCCCATCGCACACATAATTGCTTACAAGGTGTGTCTTTCCCTGGTGCATGTGTAAATTGTCATATTTGTTTGGTTTACATATTAATTAAATAAGATTGTTAGAAATTTTGTATTACTTCTGTATTGCAAATCTGATCATATGCTTTTTATTTTCTTTTTTTAGATTAATGTTTTTGTTTGTAATTACTCAACCTCATTAAAGATCATACTTATGCTTGTCTAGCTGGCTCATATGTGTACATGTGTCCTAGTCAAAATAAGTTTTTCCCACTACCTTCTCTTTCTGGTGAGAGTGTGGATGATATATACTCTCCTATCATGTATTTTATTAAGATGGTGTATGTTAACTTGGAATTCTGGTTGTTCTGATAGGGGAATAGTAAAGGTAATGAAACTAATTATTATTGATATTTTGACATTAAATTGACAGATATTTTCTCTAGGCATTTCTGTAAGTTTAAGATTAAAACAACTTGGTCTTGTATTTTTAAAAGCATATGAATATTTTGAGGGCTGTTATGGAGCCTCACAGGAGGCAGCTTTGAGATGGTAGCTGCGTAAGGGACCTGGAAAAATGATGGGCTGCACTAGCAAGGGCCCGTGGTCAGACTGCTCTACTGTGGCCAATCGCCCACACAAGGCAAAAGCTGTCTTTGTGAGACTTCCTGGTACTTTCTGACATACATATTGTGAACTTTTCACCCTGGACGTGCTTCATGCCAACTGATAGGTACCTGGCATTAAATATTAATTTTATTATATGAAAACCACTTTTTAGGGGAAACAACCCTGTGGGAGTTGAAGTGCCATAGATAGTCACCGTCTTCTTACAATCATAAACCAAGTCTTAAGCATCTTTTTCTTTTGTCTTTTTGCCTGCCCCCTCCTGTTCCTCATTTCCTTGCACCTCTCATAAAAGGGAGGGAAGGGAAAAAAAAAAGAGGCAGATATATTTTTTTTCTGGGAGTTATTCTTGTTATGAAAGTGTAAATCATTTTCTTCATTAGTTGGCATGAAAGTAAAAGTACATTTTTTTGGTTAGTCATGTTGTTGTAGCTTTGTTAAATGTTTCATCGGCAGTTGCTACTTGCCCTATAAAGTTAGGTCAAAGAATTGATTTGTAAATTGATAATGCCTTTCTCCAGTTAGTGCTAACTACTAACTGCTTTTGTATAGTTGGATTGTTGTTGTTTTAGTGGTTATCCTGCAAAGGAGTTGCTACTGGGCTTGGGATCTGCATGTCTTTTAGAATCTAATTATCTTATTTTCAATATAGGCTGGCCATGCACTACACACCGACTTCGTTCGTCTGCTGTCACGATCATCAACAGAACTAAGAGAAAGGCTACTAAGATGAAGGATACAACATCCTTCTGAGCAGTCGCCATTTGGGAACTTCGGATAGTAGCAAGGACGCCATCTGATCACTTGCAGCCAGTCAATATTTATGCTTGACAATGACTTTTAGATGAAAACAGGCTCATGAAGTCGGCTGAAGTGGCTTGGAGGTGCAACTTTTCTTATCGGAACTTTAGAGAGCTTGAGGGGTTGTTTCAAGACAACAATCCTCAAAGAAACTATGATTTGAAACAATCCTCAAAGAAGTGTCTAAGGAGAAACAACTAAAAGTCGACTAAATTTGAATTGTTGTAATTTACTGTATGTTTAATTAATTTCAAATCTGATATCAAGTGCATCAATGTAAGTTGTCTTCTGTTTCTTATAAAAATTATATTTTGTCTTCTGTTTCTTATAAAAATTGCATTTGGAGTTTGTTCGGTAAAACTGTCTCCTGACTGTATGTTGCTTAACTGTTCATTTAAAGAGAGAATATGCTTTTTTAGATTTTTTTTTGTTCTGTTGTTGTAAATGTTCAGCTGGCATTGATTTTATTTCACATGACTGATAAAAAATAATTATTATTAATTTTATTTCACAAGTTGAGTTTGATTGATAAAAAATAATGATTATATTCATAATTTCTCAGACAGCCTGAAGTAATAGATAAGGAGAGTGAAGCAATAGATAAAGAAGTCTAATTTTTCTATAGACATGAATCTGTTATTTTTCTAAATTCTTAGAGAGATGTATATGTAATTGCAAGATTTTGTAGGGCATGTAATTAGATTTCTTTATATACTTTAGAGAGAATATGCAAACACATTCTGAAAACCGTCTTTGCATAAATACGTAATTCGATTTTATGTGCTTCAGAAGAATACGCAAAAGAAAAGAAAGGGCTCCACAGCGTATGAATTTTACTCTGATTCGCCTCGAGCTATCAAAATGTTAATTGCCTTGAGAAAGACATATTTGAAGACCATACAATCCTAAGATTTTATCATAAAAGAAATGAAAAAAAATGGAATGATCGCTTTGAGGGGATTGACCTCCTTGATCATCTCGAAGCGATCAAGAGACTAATCCTCTCGAAGTGATCAAGGAGGTCGATCCCCTCAAAGTGATCATTTCTTTTACGATAAAACCTTAGAGTTTTATCGTTCAATCAATCAATCAATGAAATGTTATTCTAGTTTGTGACAAACCCTAGGAAGTCGATCCCCTTGAAGTGATCATCATTTTTTCTTTCATTTATTTTATGATAAGACATTAGGGTCTTATCATTTGATATCAGAACCTTTCTTTCTTTTATGATAAAACCGTAAAGTTTTATAACATACACGTACACACGTAGATAGCATAGAGAATGCTATTATTTGGGATTTTGTTCCAATGTATTTATTATAATAGGATTTCTTGTTCGCTCGCAAACTTTGTATGAACCCAAAATGTTACCCGCCAATGGTGTGGCAAAGAGGTGAGCAGATGTCACCTTTTCGTGATAATAATATATACGTATGAAATTTAAAATAATTTAATATAAATTCTAATCGGAAAAACGATAGTCACAACAAAATAAATGTAAGTTTACAAATGTAATATATATACATATATATTAATTTAATACGAAAAATGACTCACTTGAGAGGGATATTTATAAATGTAGATATATTATATAAGTATTATACTAAATATATTGCCGTGTCGACGGTCACGTGAGTAAAACGTGCGACGGGGGTTAGCCCTATTAGGCCTCCCGATCTGGTCACGCCACCATCGGTCGCTCTCTCAATCAATCCCTGGCCGCGAGTAGCATCCGCTCCCCTTTTCCATCCCGCCGACTGCGCCGCCACCCCATTCCGTACATCCTCCTCCTCCATCATCGGCGGCGGTGGCTTGGTTTTTCCCTCGCTTGGTCGGCGCGTTCTCCAATCGCTCGACCTCTTTCCCTCTTTTCGAAGGGCCCAGGATCCGAAGAAAGAAACCCTAAATCCGAAGCCAATCCAAGAACCGACGGGATCAGGCAAACGCAAGAGGCGCGGAGGGACTCCCTCCGGTCCTTCCTCTTAGGTACTCTTCTCCCTCCGATCTCTCCTGACCTCTTCGATTTCTTACTGGTGTTAAGAATTGAGAGGGTCAAGGGCAACTATGCCATTCGCTATTTTCTTTTCATTCTTTTACCTGGAAATACGGTCTAAAGCTTTGTTCTTTCTGAAGAGGGAAGTACGAAACTTAGTCTATTTTTCACTAAGTTTAGCGTTTTTTTTTCTTCTGATTCTAGAAGTCGTAGCGTTGGTGTCTGGTATATTCCAGAAAATTATGAGGAACCAAGGGAGGGACACTAATATAGAGCTAATGGAAGTTATGCAAATGTTGGATTAATTTTATTTTTGCTAAGAGAGCTGGTGTTGTTCTCTCGTAAATGTTGATGAATAGGTAGGTTCAGACTTCAAATTGCTTACCGTGGTTGTCAAAATTTCTGCAAAACATTCTTTGCTTTTGCCACAGTTTGCTTGTTAAAGATTTGTGAGTTATTTACGCATTAATGCATTTAGTATACTGGAGACGGTGGGCTATGATATGGTGATTCTAGACATTTTTGGTGGTCTTTGGTTTTTATGGGAAACTGCAAATGAACAAGGAGGAGGTGGCTATAAGATCTCTTAAGAAGAGGATAGGGTTTGGAGCGGTGTAGGTTAGTGGTTGCTTGAATTAAGCTAAATTCTTTTTCAAAATGGTGATTGCTTTCTGCTTCATCTCAGAATAGCTAAATGATGCATTCCCTTCCATTGGTTGTATTCTTTTCTCGAAGTTCTTCCCCACTCGAATGACTTTTACATTCAAACTTAAATATATATTTAAAGCACTTTATAATGAGCAAAAAATAGAGTCAGGTTTTGTTTTATCAGTTAAGGAAGCAAAGGCTTAAGTTGGAAGGCCTTGAGAGGCTGTTGCTCATGCAAAAAAGATTCTATTTAGCTATAAGTTTTGATATATGCCTTCGGTGAGCTATAAATTGAGCAAAATTTCATACTTGTTATTTGTGGAGAGTTTTCTAGGAAATATAAAATTGCAAATACATATTTGAGATAGACAAAGTTGAAAGGAGGTGAAAGACGGGTGGATGTGTCAGTGTTGGTGATTTGGATTTGGCTGAATTTTTTTATACAACATAAGGTTTATTAATTGGCATCAAAATTAGGGTTAGCCCTTCTAAAAGTAAGGTCTACTTTTAGGGAGATTGAATTGAGGATCAGACTTCCAACCAAAAAAAATCAGGAAGATAATTTAGAAAAAAATACAGTAAGAAAGAGAAATGCAAAAGTATGAAATTAATGGAACCACAGCCTTGCTTTTGTTGAACTTGAGGTTTTGAAAATTTGAAAGTTAGAGGAAGCTACTTGAAATTTCTGGTTGAAACTCTTAGTGTTTACCTATTTTGCTAATTTTATAAATTATATTTATTTTACTAATCAATACATAATATACATAATTTTATCGAGTATATTTTTAATTTTTAACTAAGAATTTGATTTTGTGTCTAGATTTATCTCAAGCTGTTTAATCTTTTGCTCATGCTATAAATTTGTAGTTAAAAATTTAATATTTTGCATTTTCTATTTTCCATTTACTTTTTGTATGCACTTTTTATTTTACACAATTTACTACTAGCTATATCTATTTTGTATGTGTTATTATACTACAGCCTGTGGAAAATGTTTTTTTATCTATTTTTTTGATATTGCTTTTGCTCTCTTTTCTTTTTCTTTTTGCATCTCGTTCTTTTCTTTCTTGATTTTTGAAGGGCTATATTCCCTTTCTGTGAATCCAAGGAGGCTTGCTAAATCTTCTCTTCCATTAACACTGAACATGTCTCCTCCACCCTCTGTTGCCTGCTTAGTGCTGTTGGAATTTTGATTTTGGCAATAAATGTTGATTTTCACGTTTGCAGTTTTTGAGTTTTATTTTTGATCGCGATATTAGAAATGTAAAAGTTTAGCTAAAGAAAATCCTAGTTCGACAACATTGTATGTTTGTTTGATGTTTTGAACTTGCTTTCCCTTATGTAGGATAAGCATCAATCAGAGCTTTCTTTAACTTTGTACTTGTGACATTTCTACTGTATCAAGATGCATTTATGTGATCAATATCTATGACTATCCTTTAAAACCATTGAACTTGTTTTGCTCAAAATAATGCACAAGTATATTTATTTCATATATTTCCTTAATATCTAGTATTTGAATGTTTTTGGACATGTGGTGTCATCCTCTAAGCTTGAGAAGATATTGTTCTTGTTCATTGTCTTAATTGTTCTTGATTGAAGTTCTTTTCTTTCTTTGCAGTGAAGCAATAATATGACTTTAACAATTAGAAGGCTTACAAAACTTATGTTGATAGTCGCAAAAAATCTTTCTTGGGTTCTTCGTGCATGTGTACTGGAAGTATCAACTTAAAGAATTAATAAAAGGTTTTTTAAGTGTAAATTATTTTTTATTTTGTCAGTTCTAGGCAAAAATCCTAGAACTAGATTCAGGCATTATGAAATTGCCAACACTTTATTGGTTTGATTTTTTTTGGCTGAAATCACTGTTTTTGACAAGGTTTTTTAAGTTCCAATATCAGACTCTTATCAATCTCTTGTTTGACTACTTTGCACAATTAGAAAAAATGCCTTTATATAATCTTGCAAATCTTATTGTACAAGCAAGAAGAAACCCTGGAATATTCTAACTTAGGTGTCTACCTAATAAATCTCTATCTTAACTGCTGAAATCCTGAGGACACTTTAAACAAGCAAATAAAATTCTGTATAAACTGAATATTCACAAGCAACATAAATAAAATATAAAATGTATTATTTTCTTTCGTTGCAATAAGATGCATTATGCTAGTTGGTGGGATTCTTATAATTGTCTTCCGATCAGTAGGTTAATGTGTGGTTTAGAATGGGTTTTGACCTGTTCAACACAATTTTGAATGATTCAGATCTGTTCTAGTCAGTCTCATGGCATGAAATGTTATGCAATCTGGTATTCACATAGACTGGTATGTACCACTTGTCCTGCGTTTAAGATGATGCTGCAAAAAATGTCATAATTTTGTCATACACATGCTATGAGATCATAATTGGTATTAAGCAACCTATATTTAAAGACTGACAAAAGCATACATCTAATGATTGATTTACTTAAACTATTTTGTGTTTGGTTATCATTTTTTAACTATATAAATAACCTTGCCATTATTTATTGAGTTTGCTGGTTGTGCTTGCAGCTAGGTTTTTATGTGAAAAATCACATCTATGTTGCATTGTTGCCATTGATTTTTGCACATTTGATATTTCAGTTATTCACTGAATGATTTTGTTTCTCCCCCTTTGTTAATCCAGCTTTTATATTTTATGCTTACAGGTTGTATCAGCAGTTGTATTGCTGAAAGCATTTAGAGCTTGTTTATCTTGGGTGATAAGAGGTCTCCGTCTAAGTAGTTTACGTGAAATGGAGATACAAACATCTGGCAAACCTATTGATAGTTTGCTAGAGAAGGTTCTTTCAATGAACATTCTATCTTCAGATTATTTCAAAGAACTTTACAGATTGAAGACTTACCATGAAGTTATAGATGAGATCTACAACCAAGTTGATCATGTGGAACCATGGATGACTGGAAATTGCAGAGGTCCTTCCACAGCATTTTGTCTCCTGTACAAGTTCTTCACAATGAAACTCACTGTCAAGCAAATGCATGGACTTTTGAAGCATCCTGATTCTCCTTATATTAGAGCTGTAAGTATCTCTGCTAAGTGTTATATGCTATTTTCTTTTGTTTCTTTAACCTAGCGTATACGTGGTTTCATTTGTACCTCCAAAGTTGGGAACTATAAGAAGGATGTTGACACCTGATTTGGCTGTTTCCTAGTGAGATTTGTCAATGATTCTTATTAGGTAAAGTTATTGGCAAATGATGCTGTATGTGGTATCCTCATGACTGAATATATTTAGCCTTAATGACCATCACATGCCATGGTTAACGTTTGTTTCTCACACTTTGTGCTTTGGCACATCAATTGAACTCATATAACAAAATTGTATATAGTGTGTAATGTTTGGTTGTTGGAGCATTTAGGTAACAATGCTTTTAATAGGTGCTCGGGCGCTCGCCTAGGCATGTGAGTGAGGCGAGGCAAGGCCCGAGCGCTTCGCATGACCTCTAGGTGATGCGATTCATTGAAGTGCCGCCTGGCTTCTCTCTTGAGCCTAGGCGTCGGGCACCTCGGGCTAGCACATGAGGGAAAGTGGCATACCACAAGAAATTGGAAGAGAAAGGATGAGATTGGAAGAGAAAGGGGTCCAAGCGAAAAGGACACTGACCTGAAGGCGAATACAACAGAATCAATTAGTGCTCGGTGGTGGATGGGAGGGCAAAAAATATGATTTTGTCAGAAGGCAAAAAGCTAGGGTTTTGGAGGTGGGATGGGAGGGCAAAAGATGTGATGGATGGGAGGGCAGAAGTGATCTCGTTGGAAGATGAAAAGTTAAGGTTTTGAAGGCGACAGATGGGAGGGTAGAAGACTCGTTGGAAGACGTGATCTCTCTCTCTCTCTCTCTCTCTCTCTCTCTCTCTCTCTTTTTCATGGTATACCTTTTCTCACACCCAAGACGCGATGTGTGATGGATAAGTAGCACACTAAGTATTAAATCATAATAAATAGCACTCTTGTTCTAATTCCGTTGCGTCAAGATACCAATTGATTTATCCATTTCTAGATTTGGGTCAGAAATCATCCTATCGAATGGGATTGAGATCAAATTATGGGTCAACTTAGGCATAGCGGTCAAAGAATTATATCCCGTAATATATATTTCAAGTTGGCTATGTGACTTTAATTTGATGTGGCATTTTTATTTTTATGTTCATATTTATTAATTATAGTATATTTTTTATATTTTAATATCTTGGAGCGTCTCGTTTCGCTCGGGCGAGCACCTAGCACCTCGGACATTTTGAGACCTTGACGCCTTTTGACGCCTAGCACATTTTAAAATGTTGTTAGGTAATTTATGCTTTAGCTTGCATCAACTAGGCCTTCCTAGCTAGTTATTTTGGGAACTTTTTGTTGGCTTATCGACAAACCTTATATGGATTCCTTTGGTTCACAACTTCATTTTCATTTGTCATAACTTCACATGCATTCATTTGGTTCACAACTTCATTGTCACTCGCCATAACTTTACTGTCACTTGACACTTTTGAGTTCCTGTTCTACAAATATGTTTCATATTTCTCTTGGTGTAAAAATGTTGGTCTTTTGTGTATGATATATAGGTGCATTGGTTGTGAACATCGACGGTGAACCTGGGTGTGGATGCAAGCATTTATTTTTTTTCTCTAGGTGGATATTTTGATGTGTGTATATAATGTTATAATGATGACCTTATATTTATTGTTTCAAATTACTATGTGTAAAGCTAAAAGATATCGTTCTTGGTTATATAGATTGGTTTCCTCTACCTGCGCTATGTTGCAGATCCAAAGACATTATGGACTTGGTATGAGCCATACATCAAGGATGATGAGGTATTTTCTTTTTTGTCTGGTTATTTTTAGTTCTTAATTTTTAGTTTTTACTGATAATTTGCCTCAAAAGTTGATTCGTGTGACTTCTTTTGTAACTATGATTCTATTTTCCTTCAGAGGCACTTTGTTTTGATGCATCTTCAACTCTAATCTGTTGATGCAATGGTCTTAGCAAGTGTCTTGGCAATAATACTTGCCTTTTCAAACTAAACTTATTGCTATTGTATTTTTCTTAATTGTGCTTGTTTATTGATTTATGATTGGATACTTTCATCATCTTTTTCTGCTTTGATATCTTGTATTTATATCTTATCACTTTTATAACCTACTTTTGTATTGTGTTAAAGATTTTATTTATCCCAGGTACTATACATTGCTCCTATATCTTGTGTGAATTCCTATTTATGGATCATGCATATTATATTTCTTGTATTAAGTGAAATTTAGTGTGTACGAATGATTCACTTTGTCTTTGTTCTATTCCTATTTTGTAAAATTTTTGTCCCTTTCGGTCATACTATGACTACAATACCCGTTTTTGCTTTTAGCAATTATAGTCTTCAACAAATAAAATTTATATGCATAACAAACTTATTTGAATTCACTATATTATATTGCTTTCATTCTTGCAATTAAGTCTTGACTATATCTGGTATGGGTTGTACTTTCTGAATGTAAAGGCAAATGTTCACATTGTTATGTCTTGTGATTGGAGGCAATGATGGTACCCATGCGGGATTGATTTGTAGGGCCATTGTTATCTCCAATTACAAGGCAGGTTGGTGACGGCTAAGCCACAGGCAGGTGCGATAAGTATTTGTAGAACATAAACTCGTGCTTTGCTCTTGGTGATGTTGCGCTTATGATCACTGGAGCTCTATATTGTTTGACTATTTATACCTATGAATTTATTTTCAAATGTTTGCAACTTAAGATTGATTTTGGGACTGAATTTATAATTTGTACTTGTTACTCAGTGGATAATTCTAAGAAGAAAATGGATTCTTGCATGATTAAAGATCAATCATCAAGGCCTCCATAATTGCACATCATCTATACTGGAATAGCTGGTGGTTGAAATATGACAATGGCCTCTTTTGGTACTAAATTCAGATACTTATGGTCTTTGCCTTTTTTTTGCAGGAATTCTCTCCTGGTTCTAATGGTCGACTTACGACAATGGGGGTATATGTGCGTGATCTTCTTCTTGGTCAGGTTAGTTATTTGATTTCCTTTATTGCCTGTCCTTCATAGAGTATGCCTGTCAGACAATTCTTTATGAGTGTGTTATTATTTAACTGATTTAGTATTTCTTGCTCATATTTTTGAATCAACAAATTCCATTCATGGTCTTTATCTAATTACTTGTTTTGGTAGCTGAAAGGTAATTCATTTTGGTAAATGTCCCACCTGTTCATATGAGATTCTGGGCTTGCATTTCCTAATGGAGTATTCCTTGAGAGATCAGTACATCACATCTTTATCAACAATTAAGTTCAAGGTTTGTGATGTTGGTCTTGGAACAAAGTAATCTCTTGAAAGCTTATTGATATTTGCATATACTGTTTGAGTGAGACTCTTGCCTGTCCATGTTTTTGTCATTGTCTTGACTCAGCACTGGTCATCTAAACTTACCACTAGTCTTTCATTTCTATGCGCGGATACACTTATATTTGATTTTTCAATTTGACCATTTAAGTTTGCAGTGAAAGATGTTTGGTGACCATGGTAAAAGGAAGAAGAGGAACTAAAAGATATTCCCTGCAATGTTATTGTTCAGTTTGACTTGTGTGTTTTTAATTATATCATAAAGGTAATAAAAGTTATGTAAGATGCAAATTGGATCATGTGATAACTTCAGGAACACAAATGATAGATTTTGAGGTGCTATTTTTAATTATATCATAAAGGTGATAGAAGTTATGTAAGATGCGAATTGGACCATGTGATGACTTCAGGAACACAAATGATAGATTTTTAGGTGCTATTGCACATCTGTATAAACTAAGGACTTGAATTAATGGTTCAGACATTTCACCACGGAGGACCATTTGCTAAGGACTTGAATCTGTGGTTCAGGCATTTACCGCCGAATATCATAGTAGCCAATGAATGCACATAAGATAGCCAATGAATATCAGACATTTACTGCTGAATATCATACTGCCCTATAAATAGTGCATGGAGTTAGACCTTCTATTTAAGCTCATAGGATCAGCTGAATGAAGAGAAATGGATACAGATTCATCTGATTCATGAATATCAAACTTGGATTTGCTTGACCACAGACCCATGGCATTGGTTATTCTTCAGTTGAGTTAATGAAGGTGTGGAGCTTTTTCTTGTCTTTGCATGCTGATATTGATTCTACTTCTTTCAAAATTTTTGGGGATGCATTTTACGAATAAGTTCAATACATTGACTTTGAGCATCTGTAGTTTCTTACCTAAATGCAAGATAGATATTGAGATCTTTAGTTTTCCATTTCCATGATTAAAGTGTGATGAGCAGATAATTATATGTTTATGCTCCATCCATATTAAGGAGGATATAATACTAGTGTTAGAAGAAATAAATGAGTTGTTCTAAATTATAGTCAGAGTGTATCTTTCTTATGGTTCTTAGTGTTTCTAATATTTTTAGCAAAGATAACACAACATTTCTATACCGAGCGTATTGCAAATGAAAATGGCATTTGAATCAATGAAATTTAATTAAATGCTGATTTTTGTTTGGAGGATATATAAGGTGTCTTGTACAAGCTGGTTCTCTAGAAAATCTTCATGGTCAGATGTGGGCCACTTTTCTGTTTTACAAGTATATTCTATCCAGAATCCAATCATTAAATATGATGGAAAGAATTTCTATGAAGATGAGAAAAATCTTGTTTTTGGTTCTCTTCCATGCATGGGTGGAGTCAAATGTTAGTCCAGACGTAATTATATAATGATATCACTTACCAAGGTTGCGGTTTAACCTTATATGAAAAAAATTCTACATAGTCTGATGATGGTGGTACCTGAACTACTTAGATCAAGACCTTATCCAATAAACTTAGAACCTTCAGCTGTCTTAGCTAGTAAAAACCTCAATTGCTGATAGCAAGATTTTGGAGGCAAATCCCTTTGTCACTATTTACCCTTTGCAATTTTTAATAATTTGTTAAAATTAATTAGCTATATACAGGAGGTCATATATTATGGGCTGTTTACAGACCTTTTAAAAGCGAGATCAAATATTGCAAACATCATAACAAGTTAAAATAATACAGGATCACGAGAAAGTTATTTAGAGAATAAACCAGTAGAGTGTTTCTATTTGAAATATTTGCTATTTGTCCATTGCATAAAATGATTATTGTCATGGGATATACATACAAAATAAGTTGTGAAATGAAGATCTTTTGGACATGGACAACATTTGGATTATGATTTAAAATTTTTGGAATGAGATGTTATTTTATGATTATTGACATGAGTTAAAACGTGGAAGGACATGATACTAACTAATAAAATTTGTCATGTGAATGATAAAGAAGCTTAAATGTAGTATGGGTGTGATATAGGATGGTAAAGTTATACAACTAGATTGGAAAATAGGTAAAAATATGATTGATGCCTAACTTCATTAATTTTTGAAGTGGTGTCCTTTTTTACTAAAATTATGGGAAGAGGAGGGTGGCACGTTCATATATTTCCTAATATAATGGGGCAAGTGCACACTATTCCCACTAGGTCTGCAGTTGGCTGAAATTTATCTTTATATGATCCAGGATCCAATCTGATTAAGGTGGATTTGAATTAGATTTAATCTGATAGACTGCTTTGTGATCTGATTCAAAGATCTGAATGCTAACCATTACAGTCTGCTTACGATCTGATTTAATGCTTAAATATTTTATCTGACCCAACCTTAACTCGATAAAATAACTATAAACCAAGTTTTCCATACTTTTATGTTACTTGCCAGTTCTCAGTTACTCCCATTAAATGTTTGTTGCCTCTGCATAAGCGCTACGATCACTTTGGTACTTTCAGATAAATGGCATGCAGCCATTGGCAGATACTGGTGCTGGATGGCTTCTTCCTCCCATCATCACTAGATTTCATCCTAGGGGAAGTCTAATAAGGCTCCTGTTTGGATAATATTGGCTAACCACAGACAGACTTTGTATGTCATTGTCATTCTTGTGCTTGATTCTAAAGAAGATAAGTGTATCACTTTGTATCAATTTTTTATCAAAGTTTAATTGCGGTAACAGAAAGTGGAGTTTTTAGATATTATAAGATGGTTGATCTGTGTTCCTTTCTGTTGTACTTTGATTGGAACTGGTGAAGGTTTTTGTTCATGTACTTTTAACCCTATGGAATTTATCATTTGAAAGCAACCTTTTTCTACCAAAGGTAATTATATTCAGGGTTTGCCGTACCGAGCCGTACCGCCCGGTATGGGCGGTACGTACCGGTCCGACAGATTTTTGGTATGCGGACCGACTGTTACCGGTCCGAGTACTGTAGCAGTTACTGTAGCAATGCTACAGTACTCGATACACCCAGGTGTACCGCTCGGTATATCGTACCGTACCGGTACCGAGCCCAGGTCGAAATACCGGTACGGTACGGTATTGCGAACCTTGATTATATTTAACATTTATTCTAATGTTTTGTGCTAAGATTTACTTATTTACCTATAACAATAGGTAGTAAGGACTAGGGATTGTCGTTTCGCTCACACCGGTACGAAACAGGTGGCGCATATTGGTCTTAGTATTGACCGGTATGCGGACCCACCTCGGTTCGGTCTGCCGCATATGAGAAGTGGGAAACCCTAATTTCCACTTCTCACGTGAGTGTCGCCTCCGATGTTGTGATCGACGGAGTGCGATCGTGACCTCATTGCACATCGCCACGTCTCAGGTAAGTCTTTCTTCTCTTCCTCTTTCTCCTTCTTCCTCTTCCATCGCTTCGCCTTCTTCTCTCGTTCTTCCTCCTTTCTCCACCGTCCCTTCCTCTTCTCCCTTTTTTTCTTCCGCTTTGAAACGTTGGTACTTACCGATGTGTCGACAGATGGTACAATGTTATGGCCTGATGAATCTTCGAGTCAGGTCCTGTACCTGGTTTGGCAAACCCTGGTAAGGACAACTATGTGCTGTTGGATTGGATTCTCAATTATTTAGAAGTTGAATCAAACATTAATTATAATATAGCTGATCCAATGGGTTTCTAGTTGCATAACGAGGTTTCTTAAACATCAGTTTGTACCTGGACCAACCGCAATCTAATTATCTACCAATCTGTTTGCAGTCCTACTGATGGTCTTGCTTCAATATGGGGGACATTAATCGAGAGAGAAAATACATTATTAAGTTCATGAGACTATCTTTTACTTTGTGGTCTTGTGGTTAATAGATGTAGATCTTCGCTTGTGTTTGGTCAGTATCCTCACTAGATGATTGGTCTAAAAGTGATGGTTTTTCTAACTTGATGTCCCAATTATACTACTGATATTATTTTTTTTAAACTCTGATCTGTTCCTCTTCAGATTTTTCTCTGTTTGTCCCTTCTTTTTGTTTCTCTCTCTTGCATACCTTAATCCTTTGAGTAAAGATAGAGGTTGATAGAAGGAAAATGTCCTATTAATATCTTGATTGGATTGTCTCATATCAGTAATTTATTCAACCTGGGCTCGTGGGTTTTGACTTTTACATAGTTTGTAACTGCATTATTCTTGTCTTTTCGTGCATCATGTCGAAATGAACACCATAAAGTTTGAGATACGTATTATGAGTATGCAAACATTTTGGAAAACCGTATAAAGATCTTAACTTTTACTAGTGGACTATTCGTGTAGCTGCAATCTTTATAATTCGTATATATGCCATATTCGTATTTTCTCTTTATGCACTTTTAAAGTCCAAATACATGCCACAGTTTTAGTATTATAATCTTCAAGTGTTTTGGAGTGATTCTATAGGATGTTTAAAGTTTATTAAACATTAAAGGGGTTTGGGAAGTCAGCCGCAGTATATCAAAAATGGGACCCAAGAGTCCGCCCAAGGTTTGCCAGTGAATGTTAACAAAATTACTAGACCTAGGTATGTAACTGAAGTTTACAACTTTGAGCTTAGCAATGAGAGGTAAGATGAAAGGAGCTTAGCAATGAGTAAACTTGAAAGTAGCTTAGCAATAAGCTGCTGCCTCTGTTATTTGTCTATACATGGTGAAATGAAACTGTAATGAATTAAAGACCAGTGCACTGTTGCATATAATGCCGTTAGGCATCTAGATGGTAGCTGGTGATTGCATGTAATGCCTTTAGGCATCTAGATGGTAGCTGATGACTGCACCAGTCTGCTACTTTCGGTCTAGGTTGAACCATAAATCCCTTTTCATCTTCTGTTTCTTAGCAGAATGTTTGATTCCAGTCATCCTTTGAACATCACAAAATTTTGATTAGTTTATGTTGATTGATATTCTTCTCACAGCGGACTGTTAAATGTTGAGAAACTTATGTTTTAAAACTGTCTGGAGAAGCAACAACATCAACCATCTCCCCTTTCTTTTATGGTCTTTATGGTACTCTTTTTAGAATTTTGGAATCATCTGCTCTTTCCACATGTTAATTTTTTTTGCTGTGACACTGCTGACACTGATTGATCTTTGATAGCTGGGCTTGTGAACGTTTTGGACGCAGTTGAATGTATATCATTCCATGCGACACATTGTATTGCTACTCCCATAGCTTGTCTCCCTCACCATAATTGTTCATTGAACTCTTCATCCTCCCTACTGCTGATTGTCATTCACCTCTATGGCGTTCTAATGTGGTAAAATGCTGCATGGTTGATTAGGGGATACATATATGTAGTTTTTCCTTTGCATTCAATGTGCATCATTTTGCATTCTTACATTATCAGAAGTAGTTGATTAGTTTGGTTGAATAACAACATTAGCATTTTATTCTTTTCTGATCTGAACGCCCTGGAAATTTAATGTTTTGGTAATTTTGGTGCTGCTCTGATCATATAAGCTTTATCACAAATCTTCTAATGTTTGTGGATATAATGATGCAGTACTACTTTGACACACTTTTCCCACGTGTCCCTGTTCCCGTTGTGCGCCAAATTGTTGCTAACCTGGAGAAACTGAAGCTCCCCACCAAGCATTGTGGTGTCACTGGAGAAACTAGTCGGCAGGGCTCAGATGATATTGCCCGTCGCCCTCCTTCAGTAAAAGCTGCTTTGTCAGTCTCATTTGGTCAGCGTGCTCCACACCGTGCATCCACCAGGGACTCTTCGCCGGTCAGAAGGAACTTAGGTCCCATACACGAAAGGAGTGATGGTGATGACCATCGAAGATCATCTCCTAGCATTCGTCGCAGTAGTAGCCGTGACCGACATGACCGTGATCGCTCAGATCGTGACCGTGACCATGATCGAGATCATCGTGATCGAGACCGTCGAGACCATCACCGTGATCGAGACCACTCAGAACGTGACCGGGGAAGGGACTCTGAGCGAAGGCATGAACATGAGCGGCGTGGTGATCGTGATAGAGATTCCCATCGATCCAAGCACTCAGAGAGGGATTCTGGGAGAAGGGACCATGAAAGGAGTGGGCGAGATGCTGATGAGTATAGACACTCCAACTCGAGACGAAGCAGAAGTAGAAGTAGGAGCAGGAGTCGTAGCATCCATACCCGTGGTGCAGATCGCCCTAGTCCTTTCGGAGATGAAAATAAAGAGAAGACAAAGGCTGTTTCAAGCAATCTGGCAAAGTTGAAAGATTTATATGGTGATGGAAGTGACAAGAAAAGCAATGAAGCTGCCGATAGGCTGCGCAAAGATACCAGCACTGAAGAGGTTATCAGACTTGGGGGTTCCACATGGAGATGAAGCCAATTGAATTTGATTTGGAATGATGTTATTTTGTAATATCTACTTGGGGTATTATAGTAAACACATTTTGGAATTAGTTGTTGGAAACTAAATCACCTTGGGGATGAAATCTGAGACTTCCCTATGTTGGTCTTCTTCGGACTAATCTATTAGTGCCTGCCTGCCTTTTCCAGGAGAAACATGCATGATGCAAGAAATGTATGATTGAAATTAAGATTTATATTTGTTTTACTGAGTACAGAAAACAAACTCTGCTGCAAAACAATGCAATCCACAATGTGTTCCTCTCACAAAGCTATCTTTCGTTGGACAGTCATCAATTTGTCATTCTCTCAGCATTCTCTTAACGTTTCAAGTTCTTATATTTATTTTATTGCTCAGCGTTTGTTGATCAGGTGATGGAAGAACTTTGTCGAGACCAAATCCAACGCTCTTTAGTCGACCTAAATCTCGTTGACAATTCAACCCTAGAGAAAAAGCAAATCCATACCCAAGACTTCCATTGGTCAAGTTACAATCTAGAGTAGCCGACCCCACGTCGTCGTCAAACCATTGACTGCCAGCACACGTCAAGTGGAAAATTTTCGTGTCTGCATCGTGTCAATCCACAGTGCAACGCTTGGAGTGTGGATCGATCGATCGATCGAGATCTCTCTCTCTCTCGGCTTTCGATGAATGACTTCTCGCCTCCTCCTCCTCCTCCTCCTCCCCAGCCTCTCCCTTACCCCAACGCATCGCCGCGGCTCAGGGGCTCTTCCCCGGCCTCGCCCTATCTCGGCATCCTGCACCACGATCGCTTCCTTGGGCGGCGGCGATCCGCGTGCGACCCGAATCCCTTCTCTCGCCCTATCTCCGTTCGCTTTCCGTGATTTATTCTTCAGCTTGCTGTCTTTGTGAGATTTCAGCGGCCGGAAATGGGGTCGGGATGGTACCGAGGTGAAGCTCGATGATTTCGAGAGGATGGTCGGCTGAGGGCTACGGGGTTGCCGATGGCAAGAACAAGACGAAGGACGCGCGGCCGATCGTTGTGATCGATAACTATGATAGCTTTACCTCTAGTCCATGCCAGGTAATGTCCTGTAACCAGAAAGACGAGGGATGGATCGACCGATGTGGTGTCCTGTAACTATGACTGCGCTTATTATGGGTTGATCTCCTTTATGAAGACATATCGGTAGTTCCTTCAAAAAGAAATCCCCCTTTTATTTTTTTGGCTATCTGAAGCTGAAGCATATTGGAGTAGATTTTGAGGTTTACCACAATGAAAGTATCTAATTTCCTAACAAAATATATGAACGTGATGCATAAAATAAAGAAAAATGATGGTGAAAGAGTAGTGATGAGAGTGAAGAATAAAGAACAAAGCTGATAAAATAAAGCAAAATAACAATATAAAAAAAAAAGCCAAAGAGAGTGATGATGATAGTTGAGAGATGAAGGCATTTTTTCAAGATATCTCCAATAAATAATAACTAACTTAGAAGCTACTGCCAGGCAACACATGGTGATGGACATGCAGAATGATGAGCAGAAACAGTGAGTGTGTTCTCCAAAGAAGTCATGGTGAAAGGTACTCAATCAGCAGCAGCAGCAATAGGCAACCTCAGGCACACAGTCTCTCTGAAACCATGGTGAACATATGTTGCTGCCTGCCTTGCCTTCATCTTAGCAGATGTAACTGAGAACACAAGTCTACACATGCATGTATATCATCAAACAAAAGAAGAGAAAAGAAAACTGTGATGATTGATGGTAGGAGAGGAACCCTTATGTTTGTGCCAGTAACTGCAATTGACACACATGATTAGGGTGTGACCCCTATGAGATCTCCCTGGTCGACCATCCATGAAATCTCTGGTCCAGCCACAGGTAACACAGCAGGAAACCAAACAGGCGGCAGTAGGATAATTGTTCCTGACAACAATCCTACTTCACTGAACATGTGACAGAAGAGGTTCCTTGATTGGTCTATTTAATGTAATAACCCTGCAGATTTACTAACAGCATTCCCTTCATCCATAACATGATTCCGAAAACAGCCAAGACGATGCGAATGGAATCCTGAAAGTTGTAACAGAGATATCCTGTCCTCGGATGGAGGACCACGGTTCGAGATCAAGCTATTATCATGACAATCTTCGTTGACCACAAAGCAAAAAACACATTATTTGTTTTACTGAGTTCGACAGGTTCTACTTCTTTCATCACCTGATCAACAAACAGCATCTGGAGACCTAATTTTTCATGACTTCCAGTTTCCCAGTAAGTTTGATAAAGTTATGCACCATTATTTTACCTTCGGTCGTTATGATACTCTCCGGATGGAACTGCACCCCCTGCGACTCAGAACCAAAGAACAACAAGTTTAGATGCTATACGAATATGCGATATACAATACACCATGCAGCATAGCTCTTAATCCACATGCAAACCTGATGCACATGAGAACAAGCTCAAATTCATGCACATATGTGAACTGGGTACCTTGTGCTACTGGATATGTGGACGGCAAAAAAGAGCAAAAATTCATGTAAAAGACAAGTGTGATCAGTTAGGATGGTTCTACTAATGTTAATCTCAGTGGTCTGCCATTGAATTGTTGCCATGATTACAGAAAAAAATTCCTTCGCTATCTCAGTGATAACACATTAGATAAATCATCTGAAAATAGAGTGATGAGAGAATGCTTACTTCGGTTTCTGTTACTTGTCAAATAATTAAAGGACATCTGAACTAACTTGTCAAATAAGCATTCAAAAAGGATAGAGAAGTTCCATAGTAGAGTTCTAAGAAAATCAAACTCGAAGAGGAAATACATTGATATGCCTATATCGAGTTGTCCCTGAATCACATTGGAAAGATGAAATAGACAATGTTCCCTTTTTTTATGAGTGGACTAACTCATGACAACAAGAATCATCTACCGACACTTATTAGAAGTCTAATCTAATTCACTACTCAGAAAAGAATAAATGTGACAATAAAAGTTTTGACCATACCACCAGTATGTTGTTCCTCTATGTTTTATTGACATGGTTAACCAGGGTCTCCGTGACCATCCTTGAGAACTGAAAGTGGCAGTTTAGAATTGACTGTTCAAGTTTCGCTGCCTGATTCAGAATGTGAATAGAAGAAAAGAAAATGGAAATATTCGGATGGTATATGGGTAGGTCACAAGCTCTAAGCAGGGAGAGATGACCTGGTGAATATAAAAATAGTGTTCACTATCAGACATAAATTCATTTAGGCAAATAATGAAGATCAGTATATATATTTGATTCCTTCTACGAAGAATTAGTCGTGACGAAAGCTGACTTCATTTTGCATGAACAGTAGATTTGTTATTGGAACATAGAACATAATTTGTTTTGGATGAATAGTCAATATGGACGAGCTCTCCTCTTCCATCCAATGATCTGACAGAAAAAGTTCGCAACTTGAAACCTTTATAGTCTATTTTGTTGTTTCAATGAGAAGTTTCCACAAGTCAGCTGTCAACAGATTCAAGCACATTAAATATCAAAAGAAAGAAACCCAGTAATGACAAAGATAAAAGACTAGCTGACACACCTGAATATGTGTATACTTTTTGTGTCGAGCAGCCATAATTTGTCCATCTTCAGTCCATGCCGTAATATCAAGAACATTATTAGGGAAGCTATCTTTGTCAATCACAAGACTATGATATCTACCAGCAGTGAATGGGCTGCAAAAGAACAGTGAAAATGACAATATGTTTGCTTATAAAATTGAAGATGCTGATAAAAAAAATATGTTGATCTCATTCATTAGGAGATAAGGGAAGAGTTGAACAAGTCTTGTTGAAGTTTTCTTTGCGTCGAAACACGGTTATGTTTTCTTATGACATTTTCTGGGTTTCAGGGTCAGACCTTACTTTCCTTTATTAACATTTTGAAATGCAACACACAACATCGTCTAGCACAAAATTAATCAAGTTACATGAACAATGCAGAAACTACCATTAGAAATCATTTAGCAACAGAGAACAAGGACACAACAAAAGGCATACAGATCTTACTTGGGCAAGCCACAGAATAATGTATCATCAAGTTCTTCATCATAGTAAACAAGTGAGCTTTTCCCGTGCACCACACCAGAAGGAGAACGAACAATCTTTCCTGTATAATCAATGCTCTTATTAAAGTGTCTATACAAGTAACAACTCATTACATTGATGCACCTGCAACATTCATACCTCCAAAAGCCTCTCCTATGCACTGCAAGCCCATACAAACTCCAAATAGTGGTACAGAGGGACCGAGTTCCAGAACAGTTTGCAAGGATATACCCGAATCTTGCGGTGTACCTTTAGAAGCAACAATTCAAGATCAACATTTTGGGGCATAATTGAAGTAAGACGATCATTGCAGAGAGCTCACCAGGCCCTGGGGAAATAAGTATTCCTCGCGGACATTTCCTAAAACAAAATTATTGCCTGCTTGGTCAGTTAAATAGTTTAAGGGATTGCTTGAACAGGTGAAACGAAAAGGACAAGATCAACTTACTCCTTGACCTCTCCCACAGTGATTTCGTCATTGCGGTAAACCTCAAAATCTACTCCAAGCTCTCCAATATACTTCAGTTTCAAATGGCAATAAATTAGGGAATTTTTTTTTTGTTGCATTAAAGGAACTATCAATCTGTCTAATTATGCATAAGTAGATCAACCCATAATAATCACAGTCGAGAACTCGTCTTCTAAAGATGCCAAGCAAACAGAATCGCAGCAATTCAACCAAACAATCACATTCCGACGAGCAGAATCAAACGCACATCGAGAACCACAAGATCCACGGCATCGGTCGATCCATCCCTTGTCGTTCTGGTTACAGGAAATTACCTGGCATAGATTATAGGTGAAGCTATCATAGTTATCGATCACAACGATCGGCCTCGCGTCCTGCGTCTTGTTCTTCCCATCGGCAATCCCGGCGCCCATCGCCAAGCACCCTCTCGAAATCATCGAGCTTCCCCTCTGTACCATCCTGGCCCAATTCCCAGCCGCTGAAACCTCACAAAGGCAGCAACTTTCAAGAATAAATCAAGGAAAACGAACGGAAATAGGGGAAGAGAAGGATTTCGGGTCGCACGCGGATCGCCGCCGCCGAAGGAAGCGAAGGTGGTGCATACTGCGGAGATAGGGCGAGGCCGGGGTAGAGCCCCTGAGCGGCGGCCGTGTGTTGGGGTAAGGGAAAGGTTGGGGAGGAGGGGGAGGCGAGAAGCCATTCGTCAAAGCCAAGAGAGAGAGAGAGAGAGAGACCGAGAGAGAGAGAGAGAGAGAGAGAGAGAGAGGCACTTCAAGCGCTGTACTGTCGTGTCGAATGAAACGATGAAGACAGGAATCTTCCTACATGAGGTGTGCTGGCAGGTTATGATTGGTAAACGCTTTGGGGTCCGTTATTTTGGAACGTAATTGGACCAATGGAAGCCTGAGGTATGGCTTCGCTTTCTTCTTTCTTCTTCTGGGGGTGTGTTGTCGGCGCCGTCAGGCTGCAGTCAAAGAGATTTTACGCCAATAAAGAACGTTAGATTTGGTATACCGATGAACAAAAGTTCGCCCACAGATTCGTCGTCGTAGAAAGTGGTTTTAGCGTTTCCGTGCTTGGGAAGACCGTATACGTAAGCTCTTGATTGACTCTCTGCTGTATGAGTCTACGTAACATCTAAATCTTAAGACCCTCATAATTAATGCATTGAGCGATCAAGAAAAGAAGAACACTAAGAATCCATTTGGTGTATCCTATCCTTCGCGAGCAGTGGTATTACGAGATCACCACCACTACTACTGCGACGCCCCCGCGGAAACCGGGAAGCGAGACCTGCTGATCTCTGCGCGTGGAGCGCACCTCCAGAAAGGAGCTGTCTCCGAAGAAGAACCACAGCGAGCGAGGGAGACTGAGGGGGTGTGGGGAGAGGAGGATCCATCATCGTCCTCCCACCTCCCACCTCCCCACTTCCTCTTCCTTTCGATCTTCTCCCTTTCTCTTCTTTTGGCCCCCACCTCCCACTGCCTCTTTCTTCCCATCTTCTCCTGCCTCCTCTTCTCCGTCTCCGACAAAAGATAATTATGAAAACATGAATATTATTATTGGTTGATTTGTATTACATGACCGTACACTTATGTAGATGTTACTGATAAGATAAAGGATATGCTAAAATCTTCTATGATATCAATAAATAAATATATCTAGATATG